CCCTCTCGCGAGAGCGCCGCCTCCCGCGAGACCCGCCCTCCCCAGAGCGCCGCGCCTGCGCACCACGGCGCCTCTCTCCCCGCCGCCATTACCTGAGGGAGGGCGGCGGCGTTCGCTTGCCTTCTTGTCGTCCTGGCTTGGCGGAGGGCGTTCGATCCGCCGCCTCGCTCCCTCCCTCCCTCCCTCCCTCCCGGCGCTCGGTATTCGCGGGGGTTCGGCGTAGGGCGAGCCCCGCTCCGCGTCGCTGAGAGCGGAGAGGGAGAGGTGCCGCCGAGGCCCAGTCGGCCCCGGCTGGGCCGGCTCCTGTGGTGTCGCTCATCCCCGGGCGGGAAGCAGCCCGGCGCCTGGCCGGGCCTCTGCCCCAGCAGCCCGGCGGCTGCTTAATAGAGGGTTTTCCGCTCGCCGGCGTGGTGCAGCCCCGCCGGGCTTCCCTCCAGGCCGGCGGCGTGGCGAGCGCTCCCCGCCCTCCCGCAGCCGCCCGGCCCGGCTGGTCCCGGCGCTTTGCCCCGCGGCTGCTGCGAGGTGGCGAGCTGCCTCCTCTCTTAGTGGCGGGAGCTGCTGTTAGCTTCGGCTTCGGCCGGTCCCTCGGGTACCTGATTCACCTTTTCAAAGGGCTAGGAATGGCTCTTTGCTCCTCTTTCCTCTGGTAGTCCTTAAAGGGCGCATCTGAGCACCCTCATCCGCTCCAACTGCTCAGCCCTGTTTTGTGCTGGGATCACCAGGCTCATCTCAGCCCCGGAGCCAAAGCCCTCAGTTGTCTCCCAGCACAGCCAGATGCTGCTGGCTTCCACCGTGCTGTTCAGACAAGTGAACAGAGGTGAATCTGTGCTTTATACAAAGTTTTAGACACATGCTGAAAGTGCTTAGCTCATGACGAAACGTTAAGACAGTAAGCAAACGTATTAGCTAGCAGCTACAGCAGTGCAGGATTGGAGATGCTGTCTGCCAAGGCTGAACCAGAATGAGGAATGAAAATCTCTTGTTCTGGCAAGGTTACCACTTAGCTGCAGTAGCACAAAGTTGGAATTGATGGAGACTTTTGTTTTCATTTTATTGTTAAATAGGTGGGACGCTTCCCTCCAGAGCTTTTTGCATCCCTAAAGAAAATACGGTGTGTAAATGATTTCTGTGTCCTAAGGAATCTGAGGCTTTGGCAGGGGGAAACACAGTAGAGAAGCGTGGCTTGTGTTTGCAGGCGCTGGAGCGCTCTTTGGGGCATAGGGGCTTGTTTGATAGTAGCTTTCAGGACAGCTCTGGGCAAGTTGCTTGGAGGAGACTGTGGGAAATAATAGTTGTAGTTATTCTAAGGAGCTTGGGAGTTTGCACAGCAGACTGGTATGAAAGAGGAAAAGGATATGGGGTGTGGCTGGAGCAATCTGAGAAGCAGCCATGCCTTGGGAAAAGTTCTGCGCTGACATTTATGGGGGATCATTGTTAATTTCTGTGTTAATAACACTGTAACACCCAGGTAGGGAGGAGTTTGGCCTCCACGCTGGGTCTGTGTGGGAAGAGCCGTTTGGGAGTGGTGTATATTCTGTCCAAATAATTCAGTTGCACAGAAAGGCATGGAGTCACCGGACGCAGCTTTTTCTGGGTGCTGCTTCTTCCTGTGCAGCCTGGCACTGCATTGGCTTCTGCTGCAAATCAGAGGGCACTGGGGTGGCCTGTGGGACACTGCTGTACCTGCACTTTCTCAGAATTTGGTTCTGTGTTGTGTGCAACGAAGAGGAAACTGTTCTTGGTTTGTCACTGGACCTGTCTTTGTGGTAACAGAGATGGCTCTGGATTTCCCAGTGGAACAACTTAGGCTGCTTTTTTTTATCTTTTGGAAACTCAGGGGCAAAGTCAGAGGGAAGAAATAGGCCAGGGACAGATGGCTGATGCAAGTGTGCTTTGGGGCAAGAAAAGGTATCGGGGAACAGCAGAGCAAGGAGAAGTGAGACCATAAACAAGAGTAATTCCTGGTGGCAACCAGTGGGAGCTGCAGCAGTGTAGGAAAGCATCAGTCTCCTTACAGCTGTGAAAGCCTGATCTTCCTTTTCATCTAGGTGTAATAGATTACTCCAAAATTAGACTCCTTCCTTTTTCCAGTAACCAAGTCTTTCATTCTGCAGAGACTTTTCTGTTCCTATGAGCTTGCCTGGCTGTAACCAGCATGCTCTACGCTATGTAGTGGTGCAGGAAATCTTCTGTTGTAAACACCTCAAGAGCGGGACACCAGGGTAGTTTTATTGGCCTAACTAACCAGGCTGGCTGGAGTTAAACTTGCTCAGTTGTTTATTTACACATGTATGCAGCAAGCAGTTAGTACATTAGAAAGCATAAATGAGTAACTTAGAAAAATCACAGAATCGTGTTTGAGCAGGATTGTCCTTCCTGGATTGCTAATTTGTGTAAGTATTTTTCCATGAAAAGTTCCTGAGTTGCCTCCATCTTTTTGTTTAGAACAGTCAGAAATTAATAGTAAATGTCTGCTTAAAGACTACCAATTGCACCATGCATGAAGTGGAAAAAATACAACAATGTATTGGACTTTGCCCTTTTAATGTCTTTAATTGGACGATCTCAGAAGTTTGTCTGTTAGGAATTCCGCCAACTGACGGCCATCTTTGACTGTTAGAGTTGGGCAATTCAGGCGTTTAGGATGCCTGATCGCAAGATGTTAAGGATTTGTCCAAGGTCACAAGGACAGCCTGCGTCAGACACACATGGTGACCAAGAACATTTTAAGCTCTTGGGACAAAACCGGTATCTTGCTCTGTGTGCAGCGCATAGCGGAGCTCTTACAGCAGTCAAAGTCCATAAGCTTTGCTAGAGTGAAAAGAAAAATATATTCCATTGAGTAACAATAAAATTATACTGATGTCAAATAAACACTGCTAACAGAACAATTAACTGCTTCCGTGTCTGACGAGTCACGTTCTTCTTACAGAAGCAGTTCACATCTCTGAACTTTTCATGAGTGGGAAACAGCCTTCTAGACTGCTAGTTCAATTTTCATGATGATTTAAAAAAGCAAACAAATGTTCCCGGCAAGAAAAATGGGCACCATACAAAGTAAAAGGATTACTGAAATGAGAAAAGAACAGGTAAGGTATGTAAGCATCCTCGAGGCCCATTTATTCTTCTTTGTTGTAAATTACAGGTCTACCCATTAACATCTCAAACAGAACTGGAAAATTAAGGCCAACAGAACTTGTACTTGCTGAGTTGCTTTGCAAGGTATTTGATCCAGTCCTCAGAGTGCTACAGCAGGTTCCTTGTGCTCAGCACGAGCCTGGTTTCATCTGTCTGTAACTGCTCTCTTCCAGTGGGCCCGGCTGGAGGGAGAGCAGAGGAGAGTCCGCCCTGGAGAACAAGATCCAGTGCAGCCTTCGGAAGGACAGAGTACGCAGAGCTGGCGATGGCCTCCTCTCCCCTTTCCATGAGCATCTCTTCGCGGAGTAATTTAACATACAGCAGGACTCAGAAGCACAGAGGCAGCCTTTGCTCTTTGATCCCTACTGAACGGAGACCTAGATGCTAAGTGTTTTGGGCAAATGCGGAGATTCCTTCCCTCGTTTTGTTGTGCTGCCTCAACCACCCCAGCGGCCTCACTTGTGTTTGTACGGTGGGGCCTTTAAGCCTTTGTATGTTTTGCATCGCTCTGAATCAGCCTCTTCTTTGGCTCAGAGCCACTGTTTTTGTGCTGTCTCTGGCCCACGTTCAGTCACGCCTGTTTGTAGACGGTTGGGTGGGTCTCTCTCACGCTACACAGAACTTTTCGTTGCACCCTCTTTGCATGTGCTACCACTGCGAGGGGAGCCGAAAGCCTCCTCTTCTACTTGCCTGATGCTGCACTGAATGTACTCCAAGCCATTCGGAAATGAACACAGCGGTCTCACACTGAGCTCCAGGAGGGGTAGGGGGCAGTTAGTAAACAGAAAGGGAATCACCAAGAAGGGAGGAAAAAACCCCATGGCTGATATTGCAAGGAGCTGGGGAGCACAGCCAGCAAGCGGAGGAACTTCATAGAAAGCAAATAAGGGCAAAGGGAATGGAGCCCAGAAGAGGTGAGGCAGAGGCACCCACTGCCCAAACTGCCTGGCATCTTACATTGTAAATGTAAGTAGCCTCAGGAAGCAGAGTTGATAAGCTAGAGCCTGGAAAACTTGCTCACAGTGAGGCCTGTCCCTGATCCACCTCTTCTGGAAAAAAAAAGTAAAATACAATTTAATAGTTCAGTGGGATTTTCTTGAACATGTAGTTAGTTGCTCATCACTATTTATAGCACTATCGTTTGAATAGCCCTAAAGATGCAGTCATCAGACTTTTTTTCATTACTGCTTTGAAGAACAAACCCATACTTGTTTTAACAAGTCACATCACAGGAGATGTTATTCTACACTCTCCACCCACACAACCCTGGGATTTATTTTCATTTGAGAGCTTGTTGAATGTAGCAGCACTCAGCTGAAAAAAACAATGTTCCAAGACAGAAAGGATTCAGAGCTATAAATCATGAACGTTGGTAGTGGGAAAGGACCATCGTTGCTTTGACATGGAACGGTCAGTAGCATTCTCCATCGCTACAAGAGGTTGGCTTTAGTTTTTAGTTCTGTGACACTGAGTGACTAATTGCATTACATCTATTTAGGGGTCATGTGTTCTCTGTCCACCCTTCCTGGACAGATGGGCCTAAGGAGAGGGTAGAAAAATAAAAAGCATTTGACAATGGCTGAAGTGACCAACTTGCAGTAGAATTCAATCCTATGGTAGGACACGAGGGACCAGATTTCACCCCATCTCGTGCACGTGGGTGTCTGTGTTGCTGTAGCAGCAGTTAACCCATGCCAGCTTGTGGTCACTCACCCTCACAGATGGCTCCACACCATTCTGGGGTCTGCCAGCTGCAGCAAAGAAGAGGGCACGCTTCTCTCTCCCCAGCCTCGCAGCAGCAGACAGCTCAGCCATTTCCCTTAGCACCCGATGCATTTTCTTAAGCCAGCTGCTCACAGCCTGAGATGAAGCTAATCCTAGCAGTGATGCTGACATTCGGAGGTATCGAATTCATCACAAGATTTAAATCGCAAGTTTTAGTATGAAACTTCTGGGATATCTAAAATATGAGTATTGTGAAGAGTTGTTATTCCAAGTCAGAGGTATTTAGAAATATTTATGCCAGTGAGAGAGACAGCTTAATATTTAGGAATTAGCCACTCACATTATGGGTCAGTCTCACGGCCCGTGAATAACAACTTCCTTTCTCTCCCTCCTTGTATGGTTTTGCCCTACTTAACTCTAGAACAGAATTTATATCCCTGCAACAAGAAAGTTCTGGATTTTTACTTTGCTTATTTTTTTCCTTTGTAAAATATTTTAGGAGCACCAGCATCAGCTGGGCAGGGATTTTGAAGCTATTTCCTAAGACAGAACTGCTTGCTCCAAGTGTGCAATTTTTCCCCTAAATATAGCTTTTCCAAGTGCATAAAGACGCAACTAAAATAAAATTCTTTCTCCTTTCATTCCCTCGCTGTGGCTACAGTGTATTTTGTGATCTCAAGTAGCAGGGAAGCTCAGCTGTCCAGAAGAGGAACTTCAAAAATGTTTTTAGCAGCAGTGATCTAGTATGTGTTGTTCAGGAAACATCTCCTGTATGGCTCCCCACTCTACAGTCAGTGCTGCTACTTCTGATTTAGGATTAATGAACATTTCCTCTAAGGTAAAGAAAATGTGCTCCTGCAATTTAACAGTTCAGAAGCTGCGGCTCTTCCATTCATGCAAGCCCTGCTGGCAACAGGAGCACCAGGTCCCTGTGCCCGCACCGCTGCCTGCCTGTTTTCAACTGAGCAGGCCGCATGGTATGTTTAGTATGCAGGAACAATAAGATGTCTCAGAAGAAGTCAATGCAGTCACACTTTAATGTGTTTTTACATCCTTTTACGATTCACAAAGCCAGAATATAAGTACTTATACATTTTTAATAGGAAAGTAATATATTCCCCTAAAAGAAAAATAGATTTGATTAATCATTTGTCATAAAAGTTGCCTGACAGTTGAAACTTCAAGCTTCTAAGCTAGAAAAGCTCAAATAGACAGATTATACTGAAATGTTCTTTAAAGACCAAGCAGCTGTTTTATTAAAATATTAAATTTACATTTTAAAAAGAAATATTCTGATTTATTATTCAATTATGATAATCTTGAAGTGACATGAAATTCATGACAATGGGCTTTATTCTGTCCAAATTCTGTCCTCAGTTATCCACGGGCAATCAGTTTTGCCAGTATTTAGAACTGTGCAAGATCACACACACAGAGAAGCACCATTCTGGAAAGACAAATCCGAGACACTGGGTTTCAACTTGATTCTTATTTTTCCCAGAAAAAGTGGGTTTTCAGGTCTGGGACTAGGGCTGCATCCAGCGCCTGCTGCAATGAGGCCCTCAGTTCAGACCCAAAGAACCCATCCAAATCTCACCGTCACAAGAAAAAGAAAAAGGATTTCAGAATACACCAACTGCGTCCCGCAGCACAAGGGAATGACCTTCGAACAACTTGAGGCAGTTTGAATTTACATTTTACTTCAAAAAAAAAAAAGGGGGGGGGGGGAAGAAAAAACATGGGGGGAAAATGGGGTGAACAACAATTATCTGAAACCAGGTTTCTACCATTTTTACCTACAAGTTACCAACTGCATTTGAATCAGCAGGGCTCTTGCCAGCTGTCGCACACTTGCTTACAGTATGAACAGGATTGTGGATCAAGGAAACATTTTCAAAGTTGAGGCCCAAATGGAAATAGTAAGATATCATACACAGTGTAAGTTTATAGTACACAGCATTTTTTTTTTTAAATGACGTAACGCAACAGCAGGAAGGAGTAGTAGTAGTAGTTAACAGTTACTAACACTAGAATAATCAAATTTGTATGTTATACATATACAGCAACTAACTGCTTTACAAAAAAAGCAAAATAATACAATATATTGTCACATGTATTTACAGTGTAGTAAATATACTTTTCTGTCAAATTTTACACAAAAACTATTTACAGGTGAATATACTGCATTAAAAAAAAATTGTGGGACCAACACTAAAAGTGACTTTCTGTGGTAAGTTTGTTGCATAACAATAAGACGTGCTTCATTACATTTGAAAAAAATTAACCTTAGAATGAAACCGAAAAAGCCCTAAAACCTACAACCCAGTTAGGAATAGAGCACTGGAACGCTCCCAGGTGCTCAGTCCACAATACTTATTTGAAACGTTTCCTGTTCTTGGAAACCTCATGCACATTAAAGCAGAAACATTGGCATAATTAACAGGTAGGTTATGCACTATTCAAATACTACTGAGTTATCTTTAAGTCAGGGAAAATACAAACACAAACAAAATGTTAATCATCTTTACAGTACTTAACTGTAGTTAGTGCGAAATGGGTAATGTGTTCTAAAACAGGGGTGTCAAACATACAATCCCCATGATGTCATTACATGGTCCACGTGTTAAGATCAGATTTTTCTGAATCTAAGTTTTCATTTCAAAGTACACAGACTCCACAGCTGCAGAACCAGCCTTCAAGAAGCGACTCGAGCAGCCGACGCAGCAGTGACTGCCCAGTGGTCTGCAGGCTGCCTGAAACAGCGACTTGAAGGTGGGAACTCTCTTAGAGCGGTCTCCCACTTGTTAGATCAGGTTTCAAGCCCACATTGTCACCAGCAACCACCTGCTGATCACTAGGAGCGTAAATGGAGTAATGGGATGAGGAGAGAACGGAAGCAGGCTGGACTGGGAACCGAGAGCGGTGCTCACGGGAACGAAACGGAGCAGGATGGAGAATATTCAAAACAGGGAACGAGAACAAATAAGGGAGGGTGCAAGAAAGAACACAACAAGGCAAAACAACAGCCACTGCTGTTAGAGGGTGCAGGCAAAGTGATGAATGTGACAGTAAGGCACTGAACAACTAACTAATTACTAATAGAAGTTTAATCCTTCAAGAAAGGCCGTGTTTTCCCCCTTGATCTAAGCGCAAGCTTCCCAACTGCTGGTACTGGGAGAGAACGTTCCTGTGTATCGGGGCACCTGTGATCCTGAATTAAACCTTGGCCATCGACCGTAATTACACCCAAATTCAGCCCCCATTACCTAACATGTTTGACACCCCTGCTCTAAGAAAGTTCAGGTCCTCTCACTGAACCATGCAGTGAAAACATTAAATGACTCCCCCTCCTTCCAGGAAACAGAATAAATTAAATTTTGTTGACTGACTTTATGAAGATATCAGTTTTCTTCAGCTGGGACTGAGAGCCCAGAGTAATTCTAGTTCTCACATGAAAGGTAATTTTAGTCACTGTCCATTTTGATTCCACATCATATGTATTTCAAAGACTGCATTAATTCTAATTTAGGGATGCTTTTTTTCTATAGGCAATGCAAAATGTTGACAGAGTTGCTCTCAAACGCACCCAGTCCAAACAAAACGGATTTGGTAGTTCATCTGGAATTACTATTTCTGTTTAAAGAAAATCTGCTCATAGGAGAAACAACTGACAGCAAATTACCTTTACAAGAGATTCTTTTTCCCTCCTACCCACAAATCTTCAGGCTTCTACAATTCATTGTCTTCAGCAAAACGGAAAGGGCTGGAATTAGCTTGATTCAGTACAACCAAGTGCAAACTGGCAGTGACGCTGAAGGTGGCTCTCGGCAATCTGATGCATGAGATGAGAACGGGTTTTAATCAGTGACTCCCGAAGTTTTACATGCATAGCAGCTTAGGATGTGGCACGAGTCACTGCTCCATTCCCACATTCAGTTCTAGCCTCACGATCCCTTTCATAGTCCTGTATCAGTTCAGCAACCACATTTCTACTGCAGCTCCTACGCCACCAAGAATAAAAAAATTTGGTTAATTGCACGAGTCTTCGTATTTTCCAACGCGTCTATTTCAAGACTGCTAATTCTAAGTTTTCCTCTTGTTTTAGCAAACTATTTGCATATTAAGTTTGTGTTCATAGTTTTTCCAGGACTGTAAACAAATTAAAAAAATTAAATTGTTATTTTATGAATCAATACAATAAAGGTATTTTTATTTACATAAATGTTACATTGTTACTGTGTGGATACATGTGAATTATGTGCTATATCGATAAAATCTGAACACTTAATTGTACCATTCTCTAATAATTTAGCTGTGGAGTTTGATTTACTGAAAGCCACTAACAAGATTGCACTAGAGGATTTTACTTTATATAGTGGATATGCTTTTTTGTCCTTTAAAGCCACTTGTAGATTGTTAATTTCTAACACACAACAGGATCTGAAACTGGGAAGTTTAACTGTTCTTCAGCAGGAGATATACGTAGCCCTCCAGTGAGCACCCAGGTGACAGGCCCTTCTGTCAGAATTTCTGCTCGCCTCCGAGATCAAACGCTCTGCACGTTTTCAGTCCGTGCAGGCAGCGTCTGCAGCACCCAGCGCTGCACCTGTACACGTCATCAACATAGCAGCATGTTATCACAGTCGTCCATCGCTGATACACGACTGTAGCTGACAAGTCTTTCACAGTGACAGCAGTTTCAGTTTTGTGTAACCCCCAAGTACGAACCCTCACCAACTAAAACCCCTTGAAAGTTCTGCAAGACAGGTTTGACTGCAGACGTCTGTACTGATACCAGGAATTGCACTGCAAACATTCAAACGTAACCTGGATTTGACACAGTGTCAGTTATTTTTAAATTCATGTACCTTAAGCAAACATTGCTGTTTTTATATCACTGCTTGGGCAGCACAAAAGCAGCTTCGCCAAACACAATCTCCCAGAGCTGGAAGTTAATTCATTAAATTTTCCCCTCCATACCCCACTGGTTATTCTGCCAGGAATTTCTCGAAGGTGCGTGTTGTTGGGAAGGGCAGAACTAAAGCAAATGCTAAATGGAAGAAAGAAGCAATAAATTTTCAACACTGCTACAATGACAGCGTAAGAGTCAGTTCTCGATGATTTTCTTTCCACTATTCAACCTTTTTTAGTGCAGTTAAAGTACAGAAAAAAGAAAAAGAAAAAAAAAAGTCTGCTTTGGAAAAAAGCCAGTTTGTCCAGTCTGGTCCATATACAGTCCAAGTATGTGAAGCTACAGTCTGGGGAATGAAAGAGGCTCGTGCAGCCTCCCTGTCCTCTCAAATTTATTGCTAATTACTAGAAATTTAACCTAATCAACCACTTCTGGTTAAGCTCATTGTACTGCGGCTATCCTAAGTTTCTTTTAAGTATGGTAAAAAAAAGTCCACAGCTAAAAATCTTACAGGTTTGAATTAAAACCAGGATTATAGTAACTGCCCCCGGCTCATGAAGCCACTACCTTGAAAAGTGTGCAAACAGGATTAAGGATTAACACTTTCCTTTAGAGAAGAAACAAACAAGGCAGGTAACAGAAGCAAGGTAGAGCTGTCTATGGGAAATGGCTTTCGTATTTGGACAAGATACGGTTCTGCAGTGTTAAAGAACTCCACACCTCCTCCGGCTGCAAAGTCCGTCAGGATCTCTATGAGCGGTTCTGAAACACTGGCTTAAATCAAAAACAGAAGGAAAGAAATGAAGGCATTAAAATTCAGGCAATGTTTCAAGAGTTGATCATCTGGCAACACGGCTGACGGGATGGGAACTTTCAAAATTAAGTGCAGCATCACAACCAGCGGAGGGCCCTTTGCGCGGGGCCCGCATGTGTCAGTCAGTTTCCAAAATTAAAAAAAAAAAAAATTAAAAAAATTAAGAAATAATCACACAATCTTTTTGATGCTGTGACGTTTGAAACTGCCAGCGCTTCGCTGCTTTTGCACTTGGCTGGCGGAGCCGTGGCGCATCCTCCCGCTGTTGGAGTGTCCGGCGGTGGGCGAGAGCTCCACGTTCTCCTTGTCGATCCCTGGGGAAACACAAGGACCGAGGTTACCCCTCGATGCTTCTGGCCACCCTGTAAATTAACGCTTTAAAGGCCGGCTCTCCCCGCGGACGGACGGACGGACGGACGGACAGGCCGGCAGCGACACCCGAGAGGAGAGACCCGGCCGCCGGCCGCCAGGGGGCGCCCTCCGGCAGCGCCGGGCCCGCGCGC